GTGTGTGTGTGTTGTGTGTGTGTTGTGTGTGTGCGTGTGTGCGTGTGTGCGTGTGTGCGTGTGTGCGTGTGTGCGTGTGTGCGTGTGTGCGTGTGTGCGTGTGTGCGTGTGTGCGTGTGTGCGTGTGTGCGTGTGTGCGTGTGTGCGTGTGTGCGTGTGTGCGTGTGTGCGTGTGGGCGTGTGTGGGTGTGTGCGTGTGTGCGTGTGTGCGTGTGTGCGTGTGTGCGTGTGTGCGTGTGTGCGTGTGTGCGTGTGTGCGTGTGTGCGTGTGTGCGTGTGTGCGTGTGTGCGTGTGTGCGTGTGTGCGTGTGTGCGTGTGTGCGTGTGTGCGTGTGTGCGGGTGTGCGTGTGTGCGTGTGTGCGTGTGTGCGTGTGTGCGTGTGTGCGTGTGTGCGTGTGTGCGTGTGTGCGTGTGTGCGTGTGTGCGTGTGTGCGTGTGTGAGTTTGTGCGTGTGTGCGTGTGTGCGTGTGTGCGTGTGTGCGTGTGTGCGTGTGTGCGTGTGTGCGTGTGTGCGTGTGTGCGTGTGTGCGTGTGTGCGTGTGTGCGTGGGTGCGTGTGTGCGTGGGTGCGTGTGTGCGTGTGTGCGTGTGTGCGTGTGTGCGTGTGTGCGTGTGTGCGTGTGTGCGTGTGTGCGTGTGTGTGCGTGTGTGTGTGTGTGTGTGTGTGTCTGTGTGTGTGGGTGTGTGTGTGTGTCTGTGTCGGTGTCCGTGTGCGTGTCGGTGTCCGTGTCCGTGTCCGTGTCCGTGTCCGTGTCCGTGTCCGTGTCTGTATTGGCGTCTCTGTGCCCGTGCCCGTGTCTGAACCCGTGTCGGTGTCGGTGTCGGCGTCTGTGTCTGCGCCTGCGTCTGTGCCTGTGTCTGAATGTGTGTCCATGTCGGTGTCTGCGTCTGTGTCTGCGTCTGTGCCTGTGCCTGAATATGTATCTCGAGCCCGAGGCCAGCCAGGGGGGGGGTGCGCGCCCCCCCCGCTGTGCGCCGAAGGGCTGCGCACGGAGGGGGGTAGTGGTGAAGCATGGGCGTCGCCTGCGCCACTTGAGGACTCCCGGGCATACCCCCGGGAGCTTCTTGGGCGCCCTGCGGCCTTCCGGGCGCCCCTGGGCGTCCCTGGATGCCCCACGGAGAGCCCCACCATCGGCAGGAGCTGGGCGGAAGCGCTCCCGCTGGTCCCGAGAATCGTGCCCTCGAAGCTGCCCGTGCCCTCCCACTTTGGGGGGCAGGATGCTCCCCAGAAGGGGCGAATCCCATTCTCGCCGCGCGTGTGAGCTCAAAGTCTTCCCTCTCTTGCCTTCACGGGCTTGCTGCCTCAACCATCCTGGCCTCGCAGATCCTCCCCTGCGGACAGGGAAAAAGAATACATAGCTGTGCTGCTCTGTGTATATATACATATATATATATATATATATACTGCGGTAGAGCCCGCCGGTGGCTACACTACGGTAGAGCCCGCCGGTGGCTCGGCCCCCTCGGCCTGCACCGCCCGCACGTGGGCAAGCCCAGTGCACCTCCTCCTCCTCCTCCTCCTCCTCCTCCTCCTCCTCCTCCTCCTCCTCCTCCGCGAGCCGACGACGCCGTCCATGGCGGCTCGCGGCACTGTGGGGGCCGCCTCCGCGCTACTTCCCGAGCGGCTTTCGCGCACTCGCCCCTCTTCCTCCACAGGTTGACGTGCGGGGAGGTGGCACACTCCCAGCCTGAGGACCTCAGTGGTCTTCGAACGAGCGCCACTCCTCATGGCCCCCTCTGGAGGCCTCTGACGGCCCTCGGCGGCCTCCCAGAGCCCCACCGCAACTCCTAGAGGCCGCCCGGAACTCCTGGAGGCAACCTGCAAGCCCCCTCGTCCTCCGCCCGCTGCTCCTCCTCCTTCGGCTGGCTCCCATCGCGTCGACGCCGTCGTCGGTTTCTGACACCGCGCAGGTCGCGCATTCGTGAGAGATCTCGGCGATCCGACGGCGGAAGTCGTTCAGGGATGGCCTGGTGCAGGCCGATGTTCGCCTCCGGCCAGCGCCGATCCAAGGAATCCGCGCGGAGCTCCGAACGTCTACGTGTATACATGTTGTATGCAGTGGCATGTACATCCCGGGGGGCCTGTTGTTGGGACGTCTTGGCTTGTGGCTTGTGGTCGGTGGGCTCCCTGGGGCCTCTCGGGGACTTACTGGGGACCTGTTCGGCCCTTGTGGTACGGTCGGACCTGGGACAGAAGAGCCTCCTTCAGGGACATGAGACCCTCCGCCGGCCAAAACACACACAGAACATCAAAGGGTACCCTCCCCAGGATGCGCAAGGAACATTCAACAAACACGAAGAACATCAGGGTACCCTCCCCGAACCCACCTCGATCTCATGCCTCGTCCCGACCGTGTTAGAGCTTGCCTCGAGACGAAGTAACCATGAACGCTGGAGCCCGAACTTTCTTACAAACCATCAGCTCCGCGCATCGTGCAGTCTAAAGTAGAATTAGCCTTCATCCTCCTGTCATTCCTATGCTGAAATGCCGAGCTGGCGAAAGGGAAATCGCGTAACAACGGAGGAATGGGAAGCGGGGTGGGGGAGGGCAGGCTCCGGAATCGGAAGACTACACAGAGAAAGTTGAGGATGGACAGAGTTAGCATGGGTCATTGACGTTCCCGTACCCCTTGCACCCCTCAGTTTGCACCGCGCAGCTTGCACGCAGGCGGATGGCTAAATCTACAGTTGGGGGCCCACGCTGGGAAACACCCGTTCGGCCGCAACGAGCGCCCCCATCTCATCGTCAGCATACTCGCCATCTCATCCTGAGTCTGTTGGAGTGTTTCTTGGGAGCCTCTTCGAAGCCTCCCTGGGCGTCCTGGGTGCCTCTTGTCGACTCTTGGGGGGCCTCTTGGAGAGCCTTCTTGGTGTCCCGGGAACATCTTGGGGCCTCTCGGGGGGCCGCTTGGGGACCTCTTCGAGCCTCGTCGGAGCTCTTTCGGGTGCCTCTTGGGGCGTATATTCGCGGCCTCTTGGGGCCTTTCCGGGCCGCGCCTTTTTTTTGTTCCCCCGCGCCGGGCACCGCTCCGCCCGCGCGGCCTCCTGCCAGCGGCTCCTGGCCGTCGCGCTGTGCGCTGACCCGAGGGCCGCGGCCTCAGCAGCAGCAGCAGGAGCAGGAGAGGCGCGGGAGGAGGAGGCCGTCCCTACGTGGCACTGCCTCCACCCTGTTGAAAAATCCGTGTCGCCGCGCCGCTTGCCCTCGACGCGCCCGGTGGCGCACGAAGCGCCGACACCACCGCAGGCCCACGGCGGAACCCTGCGCCCCGCGCCCCAAGGAGGCGCCGCCGGCACCGCGGCGAGGCCACGGCAAGCCCTGACGCCCCCCGGCGGCCGCGGCCCCCGCCCCGAGGCGGCAGGCCGCGCGGCGGAGCAAGCGGCGCGGCGGCACGTGTCGTGCCGCTGGGGCGGCTGCCTGCCGCTGGCTCGGAAGCGCCCGCCTCGGCGCCCAGCCGCCCTTTGGCCTGTGCGCGGCCACTGCCGGCGCTCGGCACGCCAGCTGCCAACGATCGAGCGGGGGAACGGCTGCAGACTTCAGATACCCCAGGACTGACTTTTCCCCGTCGGGTCACGTGGCGAAGCTTCGTAGATCTACGAAGACGATACGCATGTCTTGTGGATCCGAAAGGGAAAACGACTCTGGGGAATATCAGTCACGTAGTCGGTCCCCTACTCGAAACGAGCCGACCAGTCAGTCCGCGAGCGTGCCCATCTCCTTGACGGTGCCCTGGTCGATGCCGTACTTCTTGATGACCTTGCGGTCGTGCAGCATGTCGAACTCCTCCGTGGCGTCCTTGCCGGCGAAGAGCATGATGGCCTTCTTCCCGCCGGGATGGTCCGGCATGAACTTCGTCACGTCGTAGACCTTGCCGCCGACGGCGCACCAGCAGTCGGTCTCGGTGTTGTGCTTCTCCATCTCAGCCGCGGTGACCGACATGGCCGGCGCGAGTGGGGCGGGAACGCTCGCGTGCGGCGGGCTGCGCCGCTCCGGGCAGGGCTCGAGGCGCTTTCTTCGGGGCGATGTCGGGAGCTCCCGGGGTGGCCCGTTGTTGGGACGTCTTGGCTTGTGGTCGGTGGGCTCCCTGGGGCCTCTCGGGGACTTACTGGGGACCTGTTCGGTCCTTGTGATACGGTCGGACCTGGGACAGAAGAGCATCCTTCAGGGACATGAGACCCTCCGCCGGCCAAAACACACACAGAACATCAAAGGGTACCCTCCCCAGGATGCGCAAGGAACATTCAACAAACACGAAGAACATCAGGGTACCCTCCCCGAACCCACCTCGATCTCATGCCTCGTCCCGACCGTGTTAGAGCTTGCCTCGAGACGAAGTAACCATGAACGCTGGAGCCCGCACTTTCTTACAAACCATCAGCTCCGCGCATCGTGCAGTCTAAAGTAGAATTAGCCTTCATCCTCCTGTCATTCCTATGCTGAAATGCCGAGCTGGCGAAAGGGAAATCGCGTAACAACGGAGGAATTGGAAGCGGGGTGGGGGAGGGCAGGCTCCGGAATCGGAAGACTACACAGAGAAAGTTGAGGATGGACAGAGTTAGCATGGGTCATTGACGTTCCCGTACCCCTTGCACCCCTCAGTTTGCACCGCGCAGCTTGCACGCAGGCGGATGGCTAAATCTACAGTTGGGGGCCCACGCTGGGAAACATCCGTTCGGCCGCAACGAGCGCCCCCATCTCATCGTCAGCATACTCGCCATCTCATCCTGAGTCTGTTGGAGTGTTTCTTGGGAGCCTCTTCGAAGCCTCCCTGGGCGTCCTGGGTGCCTCTTGTCGACTCTTGGGGGGCCTCTTGGAGAGCCTTCTTGGTGTCCCGGGAACATCTTGGGGCCTCTCGGGGGGCCGCTTGGGGACCTCTTCGAGCCTCTTCGGAGCTCTTTCGGGTGCCTCTTGGGGCGTATATTCGCGGCCTCTTGGGGCCTTTCCGGGCCGCGCCTTTTTTTTGTTCCCCCGCGCCGGGCACCGCTCCGCCCGCGCGGCCTCCTGCCAGCGGCTCCTGGCCGTCGCGCTGTGCGCTGACCCGAGGGCCGCGGCCTCAGCAGCAGCAGCAGGAGCAGGAGAGGCGCGGGAGGAGGAGGCCGTCCCTACGTGGCACTGCCTCCACCCTGTTGAAAAATCCGTGTCGCCGCGCCGCTTGCCCTCGACGCGCCCGGTGGCGCACGAAGCGCCGACACCACCGCAGGCCCACGGCGGAACCCTGCGCCCCGCGCCCCAAGGAGGCGCCGCCGACACCGCAGCGAGGCCACGGCAAGCCCTGACGCCCCCCGGCGGCCGCGGCCCCCGCCCCGAGGCGGCAGGCCGCGCGGCGGAGCAAGCGGCGCGGCGGCACGTGTCGTGCCGCTGGGGCGGCTGCCTGCCGCTGGCTCGGAAGCGCCCGCCTCGGCGCCCAGCCGCCCTTTGGCCTGTGCGCGGCCACTGCCGGCGCTCGGCACGCCAGCTGCCAACGATCGAGCGGGGGAACGGCTGCAGACTTCAGATACCCCAGGACTGACTTTTCCCCGTCGGGTCACGTGGCGAAGCTTCGTAGATCTACGAAGACGATACGCATGTCTTGTGGATCCGAAAAGGAAAACGACTCTGGGGAATATCAGTCACGTAGTCGATCCCCTACTCGAAACGAGCCGACCAGTCAGTCCGCGAGCGTGCCCATCTCCTTGACGGTGCCCTGGTCGATGCCGTACTTCTTGATGACCTTGCGGTCGTGCAGCATGTCGAACTCCTCCGTGGCGTCCTTGCCGGCGAAGAGCATGATGGCCTTCTTCCCGCCGGGATGGTCCGGCATGAACTTCGTCACGTCGTAGACCTTGCCGCCGACGGCGCACCAGCAGTCGGTCTCGGTGTTGTGCTTCTCCATCTCAGCCGCGGTGACCGACATGGCCGGCGCGAGTGGGGCGGGAACGCTCGCGTGCGGCGGGCTGCGCCGCTCCGGGCAGGGCTCGAGGCGCAGCGGACTTGAGACTTGATGGCTCCAGGGGCGGGCAGTACACGCATTCGCCAGGGAGCCTTCGCGAGTTCGGCGCGTCTTGGCTGCCTGTCAGGGCCTCTGGGCGTGCTTCGGAGGGGCCGCTGAAAGCCCTGAGCTGGAGCGCGAATTGGGGGCCTCTTGAAGCCTCTCTGGGCACGCCGTGCAGGACGGGGACGCGAGACCTCCCATACGCTTCTGGGGGCCTATTGGGAGGCCTCCCGGGAGGCCTTCGGAAGCATTCAGGGGGCCTCTTGTAGCCACTTGGGACACTCAAGGGACGTTTTCGAGGTCTCTGGGGAGCCTCTGGGAGAGAGAGAGAGAGAGAGAGAGAGAGAGAGAGCGATAGAGAGAGAGAGAGAGAGCGCGGGAAACGTCCCGGGGGGACGGCCCTGTGAGAGCCTGGCGGGGACGCAGGAGCGCCAGAAGGCTCACGCGTCGTAGTTGTAGGAGTGTCCTGGAGGCTTCCGTGAGGTGACGGGGGCATGTTGGGAGCTGCCCCCCCACCATGAGAGTGCCCCACGATCCGTTGTGGCACCCTGTTGGAACCTTCTTGGGCCTCCAATGGACCGTCTTGGAGCCCCCTTGGGCCGTGTTTGGGGCCTCGGAAGGAGTAGTGGAGCCTCCTGGGGTGCCTCTTGAACCGTCTGAGACGCCATCAACAACTGGAGAAGCCAATATGCTGAAAGTTCACGTCTCCCATGAGGAATTTGTTGATGTTTGCCTCCTGGGACCCTGTTGGGAGGCCACTTAAAGCCCTCTTGGGGCGTCTTGGGGGCCTCTCGGCCCTTGTTGACGCCATCTTGGGGCGTCTTGGAGCGTTCTTGGGGCAATTTAGGAGGTCTGGAGCCGTCCTGGCGGCCTCTGGAGCCGCCCGGGCCCCCATGACAGCCCGTGGCCCCGGTCCGCCCCCCTCCCCTCGGTCTATTCCGACATATCTCTCTCTCTCTCTCTCTCTCTTGACATATCTCTATATATACACACATCCATGCATACATGTGCACAAATAAAAATATATGTGTGTGATGGCATGCCTACATACATAAATACCGACATACATACATACATACATACATACATACATACATACATACATGCTTACTTATATGCATACATATATACACATATGCATACATACATACATACATACATACATACATGCATGCATGCATGCATGCATGCATGCATGCATACATATATACATACATGCATACCTGTCTACATACATACACACATACATGCATACATAACTACATGCATCAATGCATACATGAACGCATACCTACCAAACAACCAACCAACCAACCAACCGACCGACCCACCTACATACATATATACATAGCTACTTACATACATACAGTGGGGGCCAGTCCACAAGACACCCAACCCTGGGACCCCAAGACGTCCATTCATTTTGGCGTGGGAAGGTCACGCTTTCCATCGCAATACCATCGAAACCCAAGAAACTCAGCGCACCCTGGAGGCAAGCAGGGTGTTTCTTGGCAGGGGTCTCCACTGTACATACAGACATACATATATGCAGACATACAGATATACAGCCATACAGAGATACTGACACACAGACATGCAAACATACATACAAGTATACATACAAGCAAACACACATACATACATACATACATACATACATACATACATACATAGATAAATAAGTGCATGTAGACATACATACACGCATACAAACAAACAAACAAACAAACAAACAAACAAACATGAATACATGCATGAAGACAGACATGCATGCATGTATGTATACATACATACTGCATACATATGTGCACGCGTATGTGTATATACGTGTATACATATATATATATATATATATATATGTATGAATATGGCTGTGCATGTATGCATGTATGCATGTATGTATGTATGTATGTATGCATGTATGTATGCATGTATGTATGTATGTATGTATGTATGCCTGTATGTGTGTATGTATGTATGTATGAATGAATGCAGGTATGTATGTCTGTATGTATGGATGGATGTATGTGTGTGCTTGTGCGTGCACATATATATATATACACGCTAGAACCACGCGCGCGCTTCGCGCGCATTTAGGTTCTAGGGCAGTCCTCGACAACCTTACACGATCGGATGAGGAAGAACATCATCCCGCAAGGATCACCATACGGGAAGGCACTTCCTTGTGGACGCTTCGGGAGGCAAGTGGCCTGTGGACCGTCTTCGGCGGTCTTGAAAATCTCCTGGGCGTCTCGAGGGCCTCTCGACTATCTTTTGGAACCCGAGTGGACATTTCGAGGTCTCCTCCCCATGATGAAGCCCGAGGAAGCCAACAGGGCTGCAAGAGCTCCGCTAAAAGCTCCCAAGAGACACCCGAGGCTCCCAAGAGGCGTAAACGAGAGAGCCCACGGAGGGCCCAAAACTGCTTCCAAGAGGCCTCCAAGAGGCATTCCAATAAACCCATCTAAGTATCCAAGAAGCCTCTGAACAACAACCCGAGCGCGGTCGCGGGGTGGGCCTGGCTGCGACTTTAAAAGGGAAAGTGTGAAGTTCCTGTTATTTTCAAGTTCCCGCAAACCTGTACAAGAACGCTGCCAGATCACCCAGGATGCTTCTGAGCGGGCCCAGGGCGGCCAAACATGGTTTCCAGGCGTTCTCGTTGGAGCCTCGCTGGAGGTCTGAGGCCACAGACGCCTCCGGAGGCTCAGAAAAAGGCCAAGAGCGTCCCCCCAAACTTGAACTTTGATCCTCCCGCTCCCGCCTCCGTCTGCCCTCCTTCCCCCGACCCCGAATCCGTTCCAGACTCGTCCCCCGACCTGCCCTGAGGTCCACCCTGGTTTGTTTTTTCAGAGCTGTACGACTTTCTGGCAGCGCGGGGGCCCGCAAGGGAGTCCAACGGACGGAAAAACCGAGGAGACGCATCTGGAGTTCGACATTCGACGGAAACCCTTTGCGATTCTCTTCCTTCCTCCTGCTCCACAGCCCCTTCGGGAGTCAACTGGTCAGGATGTCGCGGTGCGTCCAGCTGCGGCGACGAGAGCTTCCAGAAACGCGCACCAACAAACAAAAACTCTGCGAAACACCGGTGGCGATCCCCGATCCTCCTGCTGCCCTCTCCTCCTCCTCCCCGTCCTCCTCCTGGGAGGCGGAGCGAGGAAGGCGTGAAGGAGAAACGAGGAGGGAGAGAGGAGGGAAAACAACGCTGCGGGGGAGGGCCGGACGAGACGAGGAAGGAGAAGGACGTGGAGCGGGAGACGCGGAGGAGCCAAGAGCAAGAGAGAGAGAGAGGTCAAGGAGAACGGGCAGCGACGGGTGGGGAAAACGGAAACGCAAGCGGGGGCACGCCAACGCCTGGAACAGGAGGAAACGGTAGGCCTTGACAAAAAGAAGGATTTGAGGGATGTCCCTTGTTTTGTCGAGCGGGGCCTCCTACCACAAAGTGGAGCAAGATGCTGGGCGAGAGAGGCGGAGGGAGGAAGGAGTGAAAGGAGAGATGAGGATGAGGGATGGGGGAGGCAGTACGGTGGGGGCATTGGATAAGGAACCATCAGATAAGGAATCCTCCAGGGTCTGGAGCCTCCTGGTACATTCCTTATCGAACGCCCTCACCGTACCGCACGAGGGAGGCGGAGAGAGGAAGGCATGAAGGAAGGACGACGAAGAGGGCTGAAGGAAAATATCGTAGCGGGGAGGAGGGAGGAGGAGAGGAAAGAGAAGGTTGTGGAACGGGAGACGCAAGAGAACCAGGAGCAGGCGAGCGAGCAATGAGAACGGACAACGAGGGATAGGGGAAACGGAAAGGTAGCCTGGGGAACGGAGGAGCGGGGGGGGGCAACTTGAAAAAAAATAGGTTTGAGGAAATTAGTGGTTTTCAAGTTGCCTCTGGAGGCCCCCAAGAGCACCGAGGATCGCCCCAAGAGGCCCCCAATAATCCCCCCCAAGGCTCTGAGGAAGCCCTCGAGCCCAAAATCATTACAAAAGCTAAGGACAACTTATGGCACTTGTGTTCTCGCATTTCCGACTTCGATGCGCTTCCGAGGGTTGCGCATGCACACGAAAGCCGCTCGGGACGCCTCTTGGGGGCATCTTGGACCTCTCCTGGGGGCCTCTTGGGAGCTCTTGAGGGCCTCTCGGGGCCCTCTTCGGCGCTGGGTGCCTCCAGGGCGGCTCCTGGGAGCTCGTTGGGGCCCGCTCGGAACGTCTTTGGGGCCTCGGCGGTGCCCCTTCGGGCGTCATGGGAGCCTCTTGTGGCTTCCTGGGGCCACTTTGCGCCGCTCAGGACGCCTCTTGGGGGCCTCTTGGAGCCCTCTGGGGCTTGCTCATGCCTCGGAAGCGCGTCGGAGGCGGAAGTGCGAGAAAACAGGAAAATCATTGATTCCCACTCGGTGTTTCAATGATGGTGGCATCTCGAGGGCGTCCCCGGAGCTCATGGGGGACTCTTGGCAGCCCCTTCGGGGCGATCTTGAATGCTCTTGGGGGCTTCCTGAGCCGTCGGGGGGCCAGCTTGGACAGCCTTGGAGCACTTTTGGCTGTCTCAAAGGCGTTCTGGGCCGTCTTCAAGCTTTTCGGGGGCTCTCTTGGACGCCTGGAAGGGTGGTACCAGCGAACTGCTGGAAATGGTAGCGGAGGGGGCGGAGGCCCGGTGGGCGTATGTATCTATGTACGTATGTATGTGTATGTATGTGTATGTATGTGTATGTATGTGTATGTATGTGTATGTGTGTATGTATGTGTATGTATGTGTATGTATGTCTGTCTGTCTGTCTGTCTGTCTGTCTGTCTGTCTGTCTGTATGTTTGTATGTATGATCGTATGTATGTGTGTATGTATGGATAAACGTGTGTATGTACATGTGGTTGGATATATATATATATAGTATACTATAATGTAATATAATATGATATGACATCATATAATATTAA